CTAGGAGGGCAGGCGGGCCGGGTGTCCCGCTCCTCCCGGAGCCGGTCTGCGCTCGATGGAGCCCCGCCAGGCGCTCTGGCGCGTCCCGGGGCCCCCTCGGCGCTCCGCCGGGCTCGGGAGATGCCGCCCCAGGCTTCGCGCCGCCCGGCTCCCAGCTCCTTCCGCCCTCTGCCCGCAGCCCCGAGAAACCTGGCTCAGGCGGAGGTCCCGCTGGGCGCCCGGCGGGATCGCCTCCCGGTACCCAGACGGGAAGCGAAGGCTCCGAGAGGCTTCGCGGTTCTGCAAAGCCCGTACGTGGCGTCGGCTCGCGGCCTCCTCCGCTTTGCACCCGGGGGCTCGGCCACCCGGATCCAGGACCCCCTACGCGCCCCGGCCCGTGCCCGGACTCTGTGGACACAGCCTTGTACGGCCGCGGGCGCTGGCGGAGCGTCGCCGGGCCGGTGGGCGGTTTCCGCGCGCAGAGCCAGACGCGGGCGCGGGGTTGCGGGCGCCTTCCTTGGGCCTGAAGGCTGCAGCGCGGGCCTCCAGGGAATTCGGAGGAAGCCCGCGGCCCCAGCGCCAGCGTGCCTTTGCTCCGCACACGGCCTGCCCCGGGCACTTTTATAACTTTGGGGACACTTTTGGATGCAGCGCCCGTAGAACCTTGGCCCTCAGAGGGCCCCACTGCGCGCTCGGCCTGATGTCCCCCCTCCCGCTGCCTGTCATTTGCTCGCGCCGCGCGCTCGCGCTCCTTTTGTAGCTCATTCCTTCTTCACAGCAGCCCGAGAGCCGGCGTCAGGAGACCCAGTTTCCTGTGCATTTGGGTTGCGAGAGATTCTTTCTGGCGAGTCTTCCTTTTCCCCTTGTGTGTCCGCCTTTGTCTCTAACTTGGTGTTTATTTTTAGCTGTTCTAATTGCTGTTTTTCCAAGTCCTTCGCCTGTCATCAGCCCCTCTCCACTGATCCTTTCATAATGTTTTCACTAGCTAGAACTTTTCTTCTTTTTTGAGTTGCTAGTTTGGCTAATTTTTCCTCCCTTCCCTACCCATTTCCCCAGCCTCACTGCCACCCTTTCTACCCTAACCCTTGTGGCGTCTTCTCTCCCTACCCTTCCCACCTGCAAAGGTACCTTTCTAAGCGGTCTCCACTGTGGGGGAGGTTTTCCCTGGCCCTTTAGCTTTTCAGCTGTCACCCTAGAGGCCACCACTGTCCCAACCTGCTGTTGGCCTACTCCAAATGAGGTGGGCTCATGGGACCTTGCACTGGGCTGCAGTGGGATCCCTCTGTTAAACTATGTTGTTGTTGTTATTATGTGCCATCCAGTAGGACCCAACTCATAGCAACCCCTCCTTGAGTTTCCAAAGCAGTAGTATCACTACGGAAGTAGATTGCCCCATCTTCCTTCCGAGGCATGGCTGGTGGGTTTGAACCACCAGCCTTGTGGTTAGCAGTCAAGTGCCTTAGGCACTCCACTACCAGAGCTCTCCTGTTAAACTATAAGCAGGACTTTTTAAGTGCATCCTTCCATAACATGTCTGGCAAGATGGGGCTTAACTAAAAATTAGCAATGTCTGCAACCCATGGTCACATCACTGAGTCATTTCTGGAGCCAAGTGTGAACCTGTTCCAATGTTCTGCAGGAATGAAGCAGGCAACATACACCAAGTGCACAAACCAACCACCATTTCTTCCCTTGACTTTTTCTGAGGAAAATTCTAGACCTTGGATGAGAGTTGAATGTTACTTACATAAATGGTTTTGTGTAATATTTCTTAGACATGGCCAGCACACTTCGGGAGTCCCTGGGCGATGCAATGATTAACCAGCTGGGCTAACCTAAGGGTTAGAGGGTCGAGTCTACCCAGACATGCCTCAAGAGAGAGGCCTGCTGTTCTGTTCCCAGAAAATTATCCACTGAGGCCCCTACAGAGCACGGTTCCACTCTGACACGAGGTCACCATGAATTGGAATCCAGTCCACAGCAACTGTTTTTTATTTTGTTTTGTTTTAGTTCTCTCTCTAGGATGGAGGTTGGTACTTGATTTCCCTGCCTCCCATTATGAAATTCAACAAGTTATATCCAGAAACTCAACAGAAGAGATGCACAAAAGTGCATGGCCTAGTCCTAGCCTATGGAAAGCATGTAACTCTGTTGATGAGGGGCACTATACACAGAATTTAAAATGTCTCAAGTCTGGATGTGAGTCCTGGTCCTAAAGGAGGGCCTTCAAAGGCTGGCAGAGTCCTGGATCCAAATGAGGTCACTGCATTCCCACAACAATGACAAGTACACCTAACACAGGAAAAAAGGAGACGACAGGATGGGGCAGTTAGGCACAGCCAGCCAAACTCAGTGCTGGTTGCCATGTCCACCCCTGACGTGAAAAACCCCAGTGTGGCCTAGTACGTGCTTCTGCCCCCCTCCTAAGCTAAGCCCACTGGGCCTTTCTGAAAATAGAACCGTTTGAAAGCACCGTGACTGTCCTGTTATTTTATCACATAATAAGTACAAAAATAAAGACACGATTGAGATGCAATGCACACAGTTGGAAATTTTTGTTTTGAGACATTGAAAGATTGATTGTCTTTGTAAAATAGTTATAGATAAGGGTGGGGGTGCCTGGCCTCCTCTAACTTCATGGGAGAGTCCCCAATCAGCATCTACCCTAAGCTGATTCCCATGAAGCAGAGGTCAGGCATGCCACCTCTCTCCAACCTTTTTAACCAATTCTGACACCAGCTGTCCTTCCCGTGGACTCTCTGCTGGGGTCAATAATTTGTTGAAATGGGCATGCAGAATTCACAGACCATATTCCCAATTACGGGGTTTATTAGGGAAGTACCAGGTTATAATTCAGGATCAGGCAGGACACAGTCCTTAGGTCAGGATAGCCCTTTCTGTGCTGGGACATCACAGGCCCCTCTCTGGCCCTCAGCTCCTGGGCCCCTCAGCTCCTTGGGCTCTTGGGCCATCCTGACCTCTGTCCTGCTTAAGAAAGTGTTACAAAGCTCTTCAGCTCCACCAGTAAGTGCCGGTAGGCACCCTACTCTGCCAGTAAAGCTCGGTCCAAAGGCACTCAGCTCTCGCTCAGTGGGTCCTGAGCCCAGCTCCACCAAGGGCCTGGAGGCATGCCACTGTGCCAGCAAGCCCCCTGCTTAAAAACCCTCAGCTTTCTCTCTCGGTGGACCAGGAAGCCCACTGTGCCATCTCCTGCTGGTCGCCTAGTTCAGCTATCTCTACTGTCGCCGTCTCTCTGCCACTGCTTCTTGCTGTCTCTCATTGTCTTTGGTGTTACAACACTCTCTCTCTCTCTCTCTGTCTCCTGGGTCTAAGAGGTTCTCAGCACAAAACTCTCAGGCCCAAAGGACACACTTCACTTCCGTCTCTTTATTTCTTGGTAGTAGTGAGATTCCCCATCTCCTGCCTATGGATGGCTCATTTTAAGCCTAGTGGGATGGCAAAGCTGACCAATCCCCTCGTTAGGGGTCCATAAACCGTACGTGTATGGTCCCACCCCCACAGGGTGCTATGCATCTTATTTGCAGTATTAGCAAGCTGTCCAATCCCCTCGTTGTTGTTGTTCTTAGGTGCCATCAAGTCAGCTCTGACTCATAGTGACCCTAAGCCCAACAGGACAAAACACTGCCCAGTCCTGTGCCAGCTTCACAATTCCCACTATACCTGAGCCCATTGTTGTAGCCACTGTGTCAGTCCATCTCATCGAGGGCCTTCCCCTTTCTCACTGACCCTCCACTCTACCTAGCATGATATTCTTCTCCAGGGAATGGTCCCTTTTGACAACATGACCAAAGTAGGTCTGGCCATTCTTGCTTCCAAGGAGCATTCCGGCTGCACTGCTTCCAGGACAGATTTGTTCGTTCTTCTGGCTGTCTGTGGTACTTCCAGCATTCTTCACCAACACCACAACTCAAAAGAATCAATTCTTCCTCCGTCTTCCTTATTCAGCACTTCAAAGAGGTCTTTTGAAGGAGATTTGCCCAGTGCAATACATCATCTGATTTCTTGACTGCTGCTTCCATTAACCCACCAACCACTCCTCGGAAGGAAGGTTGAGCAATCTACTTCCATGGTGATACCACCTTTGAAACCCAAGGAGGGGTCGCTATGAGTCGAGCCTGACTCGACGGCAAACAACAACAACAACAACAGCTTTCATTGGTGATGATTGTGGAACCAAGTAATATGAAATCCTTGACAACTTCTATCTTTTCTCTACTTATCATGATACTGCTTATTGGTCCAGCTGTGAGGATTTTCATTTTCTTTATATTGAGGTATAATCCATACTCCAGACTGTAGTCTTTAATCTTCATCAGTAAGTGCTTCAAGCCATCTTTACTTTCAGCAAGCAAAGTTGTGTCATCTGCATATTGCAGGTTGTTAATGAGTTGCTCCAATCCTGATGCCACCTTCTTCTTCATACAGTCCAGCTTCTCGGATTATTTGCTTAGCATATACATTGAATAAGTATGATGAAAGGATACAACCCTGATGCACTCCCTCCCTGATTTTAAACCATGCAGTGTCCCCTTGTTCTGTTTGAATGACACCCTCCTGGTCTATGTACAGGTTTCTTGTGAGCACACTAAGTGTTCTGGAATTCCTGTTCTTAATGTTATCCATCATTTGTTATGATCCACACAATCAAGTGCTTTCTTTCTTTTTATTTTTGCATTCTTTCCTCCCTTCCCCTCCCACCCCTGGTAACCAACAAAGAAAGTTTCCTTCCATATATAAACCTTTCCTTAACTTTAGTCAAGTGCTTTTGCATAGTCAATAAAACACA